GAAAGAAGAAATAAAAATGAAAATTTTCATGTGTACATATAAAGGATGTTCTAGTTTTTTTCGGTGAAACTTTGTTTGTGTATTCTATGGATAAAAGTGAGAAAAAAATGTTATATAAATATAGAACGTTTGAAGCTTTATTAAAAAAGTTATAACAAAAATTTGAAATATGGAGGGAACGCAGCAAACTTGCAGTTATTATGATGCAAAATAGGGACAGGTCAGCGATATTTACATTTAGTCTGTTTACGCGACCTGCGTTTACTATTTCAGGTCGTTGAAGGCGTCGAGTAACTTCCCTCAGTATCACAATAACAGCAAGTTCGTTACCATTCGTATTTTTACTATAAATTTTTAATAAAACTTCAAACAACCTATGTCTATATATTTGTTTCCTATTTATACTTATAGATTACGCAGAAAAAATGTTGCCAGAAAATACTGAAACACACTGTATATATAAAAGAAAAAAAGAAATGGTAGGAGGATTCATCATATTTGGACTGTTCCATTTCTCTCGTTTACTTGTTGATTATGAAAAAGACATTTATTTTCCAGATGCCACTTCTCCTTATAATCAGACTTTGGTACAAAATCGAAACTGTTCTGATTCTGTGAATCGTTCATATTCGTAAAGCGGGATACACGATTGATCGCAGTTTGATCACTCTCGGTACACATAATGGATGATTTTCTCTGTTTCAGTAAAGATATACAATTCAACACCAGTCACAATTTGTTCTTCGTCGGTCGGAACGGCGGAGGGAAATATCAGTTAATTTTCATTTCTATGTCCATCCTCTTAAAAGGGGAAATGTACCACTGATTCAGAAATGGAAACGCCGTGAAATTATCCACCGTGCCTAACGTCACTTGACAACGTAACATACAATATGCGCGATTCATTTCGAATCGGCTATTTTTGGTTCGTACATGTCACGTGACTAACAATAAGACAGCCGACAACGTAGAGCAGTTTCTCAAGAAAGCCGCCGATTACAAACGTTTATACAAATTCATTCCCGTGGTGTGTGTGTGTATGTGTGTGTGTATATTTATATAGATCAGATGCTATCTTTGCGTATCAAGATAAAACGCGTGAAGTAAAAGAAAAGAAAACGGAAAATTGAAAACGTAAGGTACATACAAACTCTTCAAGAGAAAGTAAAAAGATCAGCAATCACGATTCTGCGTTCTTTCTTCGTTTTTTTTTTTCCGCCGTATATAAAATGTCTTGTGTACAACTTTGACGACAAGCGTCGAAGGGGGTGTTTTTCGGCTTTTTCTTTGCAGCATCAAGTATCAACTATTAGGATCCACTAAATCTACGAAACGTATATCTCTACAAATTCCGACCGATCGTTCTCGGTTCACTTTCACACTCATCACAGTCGCGCATCTCACTATTATTCTTTTAAGCTGTGTGCATTGCATTATGCTGCTCTCAACCATTTCTTTTTTTTCTTTTTGGCTGTTTTAAATTAACATTCAGACAAATAGTAGCGATAAAAGTCGATTCATTGATACTCTTCTTTCTTTTTCTTTTTTTTTTTCATTTTTCAAACGGAGGAGCGGGAAAAGCGCAATTTTAAACAGAACAACTCGGCAAAACTTGTCGAAAGTGCGTTAATCTGCTTTGGCGCCTTAAGTATGTCACAGAAGTGCAAGAATTTTGTATTACTTTTTGTACAGCAATTCCGCTTACACGAAGGGAAAACACATTTGGAGGACAACGATCGATTGCGAGGTATTCTCGGTATCAAAGGGTGACTTTTAGACTTTTCTTTGTTTCGGATCGTCTTAAGAAAACGTAGGAGGGGTAGGTTTTCAGCATTTTCACAAATTTAGAATAAATGCGTCCATATAGGGGAGGGAGGGGGTTGAGAGGGGATAGGAGGGGAGGAAATTTCGAATTCCATTTCGGAGTTCGATATAATCTGAAAGACTGGGGGGAGATATCAAAGCTTTTTTTATGCAAATTTACAACATGCCGAAACCCTTCGAATAGTTTATCGCTTTCAACAGACGATCTTGCAACTTCTCTAATGTACTGTAGTCTGGCAACAGTAACACGTTGTAGCACGTGTGAGCTATTGGTAATCTAGAAAAATGAAGAAAGTACTTTGCCGTAAATATCATGTACATTATGAAACCACAATGGTTACCCTATATAAAAAAAAATTGCAAAATTTTACCTATCAGAATCCGGACCGTGTCTAGCGATAACCATTTTCAGCCTTGACAAACCACCCACTGGTACTCTGTCGCTTCCAGTAGTAAACTGAAGAAGTCTTCGCTGACTTTCCGGTGGTAACGAATGTGCAACGCGCCAGAAGTTCTGTACTGCTTCGCTATCAACGGTGTAACCACCTTCATATTCTGTAGCTGCTTCCAATTCCGCAAAATCAAACACTTTACTTCCACATACAAGCTGTATCGAAACGGAACATCGATTAGACATAACTGCAAGAGATGTAATATTTTAATTGTAAATAACTCGAGCATACTTGTTCGATCTCTTCAGGTCTGAAAAGCAATGCTAGTGGACTTTCATCCGTAACCATCTGGAAACCACATCTGAACGCTTTAAATTGTCTTTCTACTGATTTGTTAAGTAAAAAGTCCGCATATAGATCTACGAATTCCTTCTTATTTTCTTGCGTCACAAATATCTCGTCACCATTCTCTTTCAAATCATAGAAAGATATTGAGCCAAAGACATCTCTGTACAACAAAGGTATGATTCATTAGTTTGACTTATAAAATATGGATGATTTCGTAATTATTCATTTATTTACTTGTGAGCCACTCTGAAAGTTTGCATGAATATCTCTGGCATGTCATCTCCAGTATAGTCCATCAATTCCTTCAGCGTTCTATACAAAGTAGGACTCCAATCTTCCAAATCAGCGAAGCATCCTTTCCTACCGAGCAATTTTCTATAAACCACCATGGAAAAACGTACATCAAGTATCACGTTGTTGTATATTGCTAGGCCAAGAACAACACCTATCAGCGAGAAATGTGCGTCACTTTCAAACGATGTTGGATTGAACCATGTCATTTGTGTATCTTCCTGCCAAAAATTGCAATATATGTCAATATTTATGACTTTTTTGTTTCTTATCTTAAACTGATAAAAACCATGAAATTACTTGAGTCGTGAACATGCCATAATCAGGATTAAAAATTTCTTCAACGACCAATTGAAAGAATTCTTTAGAAACTCCACCCTCATCCACACCTTGCTCACCCTCAAATTCAACGACTAATTGCTTCTTAAGATCAGATGGATTTTCCACCGCAACTATTTCCAATTCGACTAACGCATCATCTATCAAACGATCTCGTCTGACCTGTTTTTAAGAAACTGTCAATGCGAGTTACAATAAAAGTCGAAACACGTGCATACCTTTAGTCTTAAATAAGGATTAGTGGGTTGCCCAACAAACGTCTGTAGGAAACTCATTCGACGTTCACTGTACATTCTAATACGATTATCGTAATACAAGCCCAGTGTCTTTGTAGCAGGGGTGAGGATAAAAGCGTAATTCATAAAACTAAATTTCATAGGTTCTTCGCTCTTATAGTATGCAAAATCTTTGTCCATTTCTATCGCATCGCTAAGTGGTTCGTTATAAAAGTCAGTGAAAGGTATCAATGGTTTTCGTGCATCCAATGCGGTAATTCCAAGCTCTTTAGCTAATGGATCCTATAAACAATTATCGTAATTGTTCATGTATATTGTTTTTGCACAAAATGGAATTTTAATACTGTAGTATTTTATAATACTGTTTAGAAGTTTACCTGAGGAACTTGCGTCGTTGTTGATCTTCCAGATTTATCATTACTCGTAGATTCACCTTCCTCGTCCATATTTAAGTCAGGTTCATCTAGTTCACCGGCTAACATACTCGCATAGTACAAAATTTTCATCACTTTCGTTGGTGCAGTAATAGTGTCTGCATCTTGAACGCAATAATCTCGCGTAAAAGATCCTCCTATTACCTGCAAAGATAAAAAAATCTTGCAGATTCTGTTATTAATAATTTTAACTGTAGCAAAAAAAAAAACTATACCTTGACCGTTATTAATTCCTGTAGAGCTTGTAAAATACTTGGGAGCCGAGATTTACAATGTTTAGCCCATACGCGTGCCAGTTTAGCTTGTGCCACAATAGGAAAACAGCTGAGCGCTTTACAAAGCATGTGAAGAGCAAGTTCGAGATATTCACTGTTTCCAAGCATAGGAATTTCAAATACAATCAAGAATACGTTTAACAAACTATCCATATTATCCCCTGGCATAGTGCGAAATACTCTCAAATCTATTTCAATATTATCTGCCAAAGTGACTAGTGCATTAACCAAAGCGGATTTGAATACTTCTCCTAAATACAAGAAAAGAATTCAAAGTATTAAATATTCATAATTATCGTTTAATATGTATAGTGCATAAAATATGTTTTTTACCTGGTAAAGACCAAAGAGCAGCAAAAGCTCTTCGCACAGCTGGTAAATCAACACTGGTATCATCATTATTAGGAACTGTATGTGATGGTTCACTGCTGTCTTCTTCTTTGTCTTCTCCTTGAATAGATCGAACTGCTTCTTTATCCATATCGCCGGGAGGCTTTAATAATCTGTCTGACGCCCTATCAAGAAGAGCAGCCAAGGGAGAGTCATTTTTTACAGTTTTTTGAAAACTCAGACTTAATGCTTTTGCACATGAGAATACTTCTCCCAATGTACGAATTAATAACGAATAAGACCCCTCTGCTTTACATCTTTCTATTATGTCCAATAACTTCGCTTCTGTGAGATATGGATCCTGTTTCCCTGTTAAAAATAGAATAATCTTGTGCTTTTATCAAGACTTTCATAAATAATGTAGAATTACATGTAATCATGCATAACCATCATAAAATGTTTAGTTATATCTAGCATTACATTAGAAATAAATAACAAGAAGTGAGAATAAAATACATTTATTAACATGTACACAGCAGCCACACAAGAATTTGATAAGCAGCTATCATTAAGTTCTTTATAAAAAACATTTCATTAATAAGAGTTATTAAAATTTTGAACTGTGATTTGTGTATCTTTCTTTTTCCAAGTATCTGAGGTATAAATTTAGTACCAGCAATTTTATGACAAACCGGGAACAATATTGTGTCCTCAAACCTCTTTTAGAGGATACTTTCTTTGGAACATAATTATTTTTAGATCTCTTTCTCAGTGTATATCTTGTTGATCTTTTTCTTTTCCTACGTTTGTTTTGCACGGTATTTATATCATACTTTGGGATGTGAATTTTATATCTATTTAACATTGCTGAAAAAGTTCCTTCTTCTGATGTTACAGATTTATTTAAAGGGGAGTTGGCAGGACTATGATTAAATTTACAAAATTGACACAAGTGATTATCTTTATCTTTTAGAACAGGAAGCACAGTATTTGATATTTCTGTTAAAATGGGTTTCATGCAAATCTTCATGTTATTTGTTAATTCACTTTCAGGTGGAATTTGAATGTTATTATTTTTTAAAGTTTGATAAGTAAGATTCAAAACATTTGTATTTTTGGAAGTGTTATTTTTTACAGAGAGTGTCAGGGTGTCAGTAATTAAAAGAGCAGGATTTATGTTTGAATTTGGTGTAATACCTTCATCCGAACATGTCGGATTCACACTCTTAACTGGTAAGCTCTTGGCTAAAGAGGCTGGACCCGGTTCTAAAGTAGTTCGGGCTACTTTACTTGGTTGTGTGCCATCACAAAGTCTTGCTTCTTGGGAAAATAATTGAATAGCTTGTGCTGCAGCTTGATTTGGAGTAAGATTTGTTACCTATTTAAAAGATGAATTATATTAGTAGCAAAAGCTTTTTAAAAGGACAAAAAGTTGAAATAGAATTTAGTCACTCACTTTGCCACTTGAAGCACAGTCTTTATTGTCACAATCAGGATTGCCACATCCATCAGTTAGTTGATAAAAATACCGTTCAATCAATTTCTTGGCAACTGCACGCTTCATGTCGCTGCAAGGGCTCTTTGCTCCTACCCTAATGGTGTACCAAAAAATACAGTAATTACAACATGCTTAAAACACAGATACTCTAAAACATGATCGATCAATGATTAAAAACTAATTATATTTAAAGAAAATCAAATATTATTATATAATAAACATATGTTTTGATACTTTCTACAATATCTAAATGATTTTATCATGCATATGGTATGTATTATCAACTGCACACACTACATCTCTTGCAATAAACTATTGTTAGAAACATGAACATATAACCATAACCTACGAAGTATATATATACGTGTATTCATTGCATGCTGTATATATTGAAAGATTTTTGAACTTGCGATATTTTACAGCAAAACTGCGCAAATATCTTATTCTGCATTGTACATAGAAACAAAAATTTATACATAAAATGTTAGATATGAAATCGGTCACGGCTAAATGTTACACAAACGTCGAAGTAAACAAAGGATGGGAAACCAATTGGATTAGAAGTGTTTTCCAATAATTGCAATTCATTCAATTAGGAACACATGGTCGTGACATATTAACAATCATTCGCGACGTTGCCAGTTCAAGTGGAAATGACAGTTCTGTAAAGTATCTCAGCTACTCGAGGTCGAAAAGCGAGCGGTGTCGTTGCACCAAAACAAAGCGTGTTAAAAATAGCATGGACTGGCGTAGATTCGTAACGATATTATGTTTCGTGATACGTGTAAACGGATCTTTGTTCTCGAAGGAACAGCGATAAGACGAAAGAAATGGAAAAACAGCGGCAAGAATGTTCTAGACGGCAAGTGCTATAGGAATATCGATATACACCTGGAAGCGTGATCTTCCCCAGGGTCCCCTTGGCCCTTGGCGCTCATAGACCGTGAATCTTCGAAATTTTGTCTCCCTTTTCGTCGTTCGTAACAGGAAATCTCGCCACGGCCGCTTCCTCTACTCGTTCAAAGTTTCGTCGAGCACTTACACACTACCACTAAATTTAGTCAGCGGGCTCCCTTATCGACGGTTCCACCACGATGCTCGAGTTACGTTTCACCACGTATTACGCACTACTGTATACACTAAGAGAACGTGGTACGGTTTGCGCTCGAGGTATATTTGTCCGTAACTTGAAACGAATATTTCTTCGTCGAGGTTAGATGGACACCGTGAACGCGAATGAACAACGTGTAATGTCCGTTGATCGTGCGGCTCGTCGATCCCGTTCATACACGAATTTTTCAAGTCAATGTCAGAACACCGAGAAGGGAGAAAAAAATAATCGTTTTGCGGCCACTTCTTGGCTGCTGTCTACTGTTCTGCACGGACACGACCAGCTGCGAGTATCGAGATTCTCGATTAATCGAACACGCCGACATTTCTCGATGAATCGATAACTCGACCAAGTGTGACCTAGATCATGCACCAGACAAGATGATTTTCTCGTAGACCAAGTGATCTGGAAAAACGACTCTATATTTTTTTGCTTTATGTAGTTTTTTGTAGGTTTTTTGCCTTTGTTTGATGATATTAGATATTTAATGAATATACATATGCGTAGACACGGGAAATATAAGATCTTCTTTCGCGGATAAATGACTGTGCATAAATCGATGTAAATATGACTATTCATTTTTCATTTTTTAATGCATTTCACATTTTATTTGTAAAACGTATCGATTATAAATTTCATTTACATGTGCATATTTCATTTTTCTAATCCACTTTTAAATATTCTTTTATCATATATCTCCGTTTTTTTGTATCATATTTAACAATCGTATAATAGAAAAAACAATCAGAAAAACAAGAGACGTTCAACTTAGTACAATATTTTACATAATAAAAGAAAGCTAAAAGGTTAGTACAATTTATTTAATTTTAGTGCAACTGCAAAAAAAAGAAAACAAAATTCACACGAAATACTCAATTTCACAACAATACGTAATTAAATTTTCAATTACCGAAACATATTAAAAAATAAAAGTACGCTAACACATGTCGCAACATCGACGCGATGTTTCTCAAAGGAAATATCGACTTTGTGCTAAATCCGGCATGCGTTATCACCGATGGCGCCTAGTATAATTCCTTGGCCGATTTCGTGACAATGAGTAAACGAGGAGCGAGTTGTGGGTGTGGGCGGTGGAGTCACTCGATAATTTCTATCGGTTCGGGGTGAATATAAAAGGGAAATTGAGCTTTCGGGGCGAAACGAGGGACTGACGCGAACAGGAAACCATTAGTTCGCGGGAAAAAGGGCGAAATTATCGGTGCCAAGCGGTGCCATTTGGCTGGACACGCGAATAAAGCCCCCCTCACACCTTCTTACGCGGTTGCGATTTATTTCGAACACGTTCACGTCACACTTTCGTCAATTTCGTTGTTAAACGCGTAGTTCAGAATTTTTGCGGAATCATTCGGGTTCGACTCGGTTAATTTATCTGAGTAAAGAAAATACGTTTGCAAGGTCGAGGGATAAAGACAAAAGAGAAGAAGTTTTATTTAATGATCCCGCGATTGCAATTATTTCTACGCTTGAATTTATTTCTTTAACGACGAAGAATAAAGATGAGAGCGAGTAAATACGTCACAAGAGAGAGAGATAAAAATTACTTTCTTTCTGAAAGAATATTTTTTGAGAATTATTAATTTTACAACAAATTAATTCTTTCATAAATTACACTCTACTTGAAACTTTCAAATATTAGGTTAGAATTGCTCTTCTTCGAACCATGCTTTGGATGCAAAAGGGAGGCAAAATTGTTTACAAATTTTCTCAAACGTTTCCACCCACGCGAATTACGCGCACAATAGACGAGTGGTGTGTGTCAGTCAACGAGTTACCAAGTTTTTCAGTCAAAAGTGTAATTTAAAGTTCTCGAGATTGCTTTCGAAGCAGATAGCTTAGACCGTGTGTTCGTACGAGATGATTGGTTGCCTGGTGTATAGGTCGACCATGTAAACGTGAAGATTCTAACGCGCATGTCCAAGCAAATGAGCGGAAAACAAGCGCCATCCCCACTACTCTATCACTCCTAGACTAATAATACGTATTTTAGAAGCATAGAATTCTATACTTCATCTACGATTATAAGATATCCACTCCTATACCTTATCTGTAATATCATTGCTACAATTAGTTTTAATTCCAACCACTATTACCGTTGTAATCTTATTCCATGCTGAATCGGTAACGTTGGAAATGACGCGAAAATGATAAGGGGGCTCTTGAGTGTCCAAGTCATAGGATAAAATAATTCATTAAGTAGATAGGTCTATTCTATACCTCGTCTATGGTGATAAATCTATTTCGTATATACCTCGTCTATATTACAAGTACAACACGGCGGTGAATCCATTAAGCGTACGCATGAACTCATAGGACGAGTTTCTACGAGACGGTAAAACGTATCGGTTCGCGTCCAAGTTCTCTAATGAGGATGTTCAATCAATTCCATCCTCCAGAAGATCTTTGTGTTTGTCTCGAACGCAAACATCTCGGTTACCGTGCGTCGAGAAAGACAGAAGCGATAATCGAATCGAACGGCTAGCGTTGCTAGTGCGGTGAAGTAGTGGGGAGAGAGTCTCAGTTGCGTATCGCACCGTGGACAGTTCAAAGTGCGAGTGTACATCTTGCTTCCTCGAGGCAAACTCACGAACGTACGAATAGATGGTGCCGCATCTGTGTTTCTCTGTCACGTACATCGACGATGGACAACGACGAGAAGTTGTCTGAATAACAATCGACATTAAACCAATTGCACGATTGCTACGATCACTTCACGTTGTACGCCGTACGTTACGTACGAGGTGTTCGGAAATATGCGAAAGAAAGCGTACATCTCAGCAGAGCATGTAAGCGGTACGATCGAGTGTCGTTGATTAGACAGAAGTCAGCGCTCTTGCGAGCAAGTTGTCATCAGTAATTTGGTGGCAAGCCAACTACTCGAGATTTTTCGATGATACACGCCTGTATCTATCCTCGAAATATGTCAAAGGTTTATAACGTTGTCTTCGTATCGAAAACGTGGCGCACGCGAGACGACGATATCAGCCTTTTTAACGGTGGCTCCCGAGATTTTTTAATAGCTGTCGGAAAAAGATCGATGTTCGATTTTTCTTACGATCAAAGATTTCCCTCTCTCTCTCTCGAAAAAAAAAAAAAACTTCAACGTAGCCAAAAAAAAAAGAAGAGAAAACAAAGAGATCCGTCGATCGTTTAACCTCGTTCCCCTTCCTTTTTCTCGATCGTACCGAATCGTCGAGAAATGCACGGTTGCCGTAGATAACGGCGATTCCGTAACTCGAGCAGCATATAATAGGCCAGCGGAGCAGACACGCTCTCTCCTCTGAAATCACGAGAGGAAATCATTAAACTCTCGGCCGAGCGTCTCTATTCAATCCACTAACCCAAAAGACGCACTGGCACAGAAGGAAAATATGCGATCCATCGATCCTCGTGCCCAACTTCGCCAATCTAATCTAACGCGACCGGGGAGAGAAAAGTGTGTCCCGCGGCGATCTCATCCGAAAGAAGAAGCCTCGCGAGACAATCGTTATCGTTATCGCGGATGGAAACTGGAAGAGAGAGAGATAAAGAGAGAGAGAGGAGTAAACAGGCTTCTTTTTTTGCCGCGGTCGAAAAGCTGGAACTGTGTGGGGCGGCGAAGAGGGGAGTGGGGGAGGGCGCGATAAAGATCGGGAAGCAGAAAGGTACACGGATTTACAGGGGCCAGGGGTCTCGGTTGATAGGGGATGAAGCTTCCGCTTGGATGCGGCCGAGTTTCGATCAAGGCCAACTTTGCCATTCGTTTGCCACCCTCCAAACCCCTTCTACGCCTATCATCCACCTTTCTCTCTCTCTCTCTCTCTCCCCCTTCGTTTCTTTTCGCTTTCTCTCCCCTTCCCTCTACCTTGTCACCCTATTTTTATTCTCATCTTTTATTCGCCCCCTTTTTGTGATACTTCACGCTTTTCTCATCACTCTCGCTGTTATCGCTGTCCCTGTTCATTCTAACCGTCCTCTTTCTCCCCT